CTCTCTCTCTCTCTCTCTCTCTCTCTCTCTCTCTCTCTCTCTCTCTCTCTCTCTCTCTCTCTCTCTCCACGCACACACATGCACACACGCTGCCTCTTTTTCACACCGGACAAGTGGGCCATCGTGGCAAACGAGGATGCGGGCAGCCTATGCTCAACTTCATCAATGTGGCTAGAGGCACAGTGAAAGGGGAGAGAAAAGCAGACATAATCGAAGATGTAACAGTAAGGAAAGAAGAAGGAGAGCTGCTCGCAAAGAGGCAAAAGAACGGTTCCAGTTCGACTGTTCATGCTTACCATGCGTATTCTTATCGTTCGTTTCGGTTGTGCATGGCTGCTTTGTCCTGTGCCTTTTGGCAACACTTGAACCACCACGGGCCCCCGATAATGTCAACCACAGTACACGGCAGTATATACATTCCTTGTTCCCAATTCGGAATATTCCATGATGCAAGTATTCCATGATGACCCTAAGCTTGTGTCCCATAACACACCAAACAGTGAACTGAGTGAAGCACTGCAGAAGTAAATGTATCAATCGCAGACAGAGAACCTTATCCGCATGACAGAGCACCTTATCCATAAGGCAGAGAAGTTTTTTTTTTTTTTTTTTTTTGGGAAAAAAGCCCTTGTGTAAGTCCTCTATCCCGGCGGTGGTAAGAGAACCATCAGAATGTAGGGCTTATCTGTCAGGCTGCTCCATCTATTGGTGAGGAGCGGCACCTGCTGGAAACCGGGTCCGGCGTCCCATTGATACATCTTGCAACACAGAGATTGCTGTTTGTTGTTTCCTGGGGCTGTGGTCATTTCACGTCTCAGTCCGGGGCTCTGTTGTCCCATGGAGCTGCCAGTTGCACCTGCTGGAAGGCAGGTCCAGCGTCCCGTTGTACATCCCAAGTCCTGCCAGCATTGATTGCCCTGTACCCAGGGGATTAACTGCGCAGGTTTGATGATAAGTATGTTTGACAAACAAAGGGCCGGCTCTTCAGTCTGCACCAGACCGCCAGATCACTAACATTGCCCTAGCAGCTACTTCCTGTTTCCTCTGAATACCAGTCTGCTTTGTATCTGCCCTGTATCCTCCATTCAGTCTGCTGCATACCATCGTATATCCACCATTGCCAGCTGGTGGGGTAGGAAGGGGTCGGGAAATTCTGTGGATGGTCGCAGTCGGATCTCCTGGCCCACAATAGTTCAGTCTCTGAAGCAGATGCGATAGTCCCTCTTGAATTCCTCCTGGTTACATTCCTGGGCAGGCTTGCCTTCTCATCTGACAGATGCGATCCAGCCCCCGTTATCACTGCCCAACCAGTCTCCAGAAAATTGGTGAATTGCTTGTGTTATGTCCTTTGCTGAATGAAATAAATCGAGCTGGTTTTTAACTTTTTGCCAGTGCACCATGAGTTCCTCTTGAATATATTGCCTTATCATGTCCGTTGCCTCTTCCGCAGCTATGCGGACACCCTCAATAACATGTATACAACGTTTTCTCCAGAGGGTCCACATGACCACTCTCCTCCCTAGCTTGAACATGTTGTTTTCAAAGGTATTGTCAGTGGGGGAGGACCATGCCTCACGTAATATGGCCCTCCAATCCCATGGTCAGTTGGACTTAGTGCCCAGCAGGGTCTAGATCCTATCCCACCATCGCCATGTAAGAACTGTCCCTCATCGACGGTGGACGATACTGATCACGGCAAGAATACGTGGTCTCTCCTGGAAATCGACGTTTTATCGATGCCCTATAGAATCCCATCTGCTCCTCCCAAGTTTGTTACAGGCTGCCCCTGATAACGAAGAGTGAAATAATCCCACATCGCCTCCGTATCAAGGACCGGGGGACGATGCCCCCGATCAGTCTCATCAGGTATGTTGCCGCGCCTAGATTTCGTCAGTCAGTCATCCACACATCAACGCCCTGCCCTCCTCAACCCAACTGGATTGCTGACAAATAGTCATTGTCAACCGAAACCGGTGGTGGCCAGGGACTGGCCAGGTCCCAGCAGCATGCCCCACTAACGCCTCAGCGCTCTTCCCTGCGACGCCATGGCCTTCCCGGCGTCAAGTTTTAGCAACACAGGTTAACAGTTATCGTCAGCCTTAATGCGAGCCCCCAATGCCCAGACGCGACCAGGAGCGTCACGTTAGCGCTGCGTTACAGCAGCGCTAACGCGGCGCCCCTTCTTATCCCCTGAGTGTTTCCGACGGATGACTGCTACAAACACCGAACTGGTAAGGAACTGATCTTTTTCAAGTACAGTCGTAGTACAGCTTTTTCTTGCCATCCAATTGGGCATGAGAAATACCCCCCCACAAGTTTTTTTTTTTCCGTCCAATTGGGCATCCAAAAAAAGGGTGTTGGGGACACCAGTCTTGACCTTTAGGTAGCGGCACTACCCTCCCACAAGATTTTATTATTACTATTATTTTCCCCCATCCCACAACAAATCTTTAAAGGGGAGGCAGGTGAACGTTGACCCAGCCACGGGACCCCTTTTGTTTTCTGAGCGAATGTTTCCCCCATGCGCCGCACCGTGCGGGTCCGCGCCAAACTTGTGGAATTTTCTGCACGGTGTCCGCTTGCATGCATGGTTTCTAGGCTTGTGTGGGTGATTGTTCTTTGTTGCTTTCTGCATGCATGGTTTCTAGGCTTGTGTGGGTGATTGTTCTTTGTTGCTTTCTTTTCTTCGCTTTTCTGTTCGGCTTCAGTGTTTTTCTTATGGATAAAGGTTCTCTGTCATGTGGATAAGGTTCTCCGTTTACCTTTTGCTTCAGTGTTTTTCTTATGGATAAGGTTCTCTGTCATGTGGATAAGGTTCTCCGTCTGCCTTCTGCTTCAGTGTTTTTCTTATGGATAAGGTACACTCAGCTTCTCTGTCCTCTCTTTTCTGTATTAAATATACTTCTGCTTCAGTATTTGATGTCTTATGGATTAGGTTCGCCCGTTGTGGGAGGACAATGATAGTCCCCTCGGCACCCTGGGCCCTGCTGCTGAGCTGTACATTCAGAAAGAGGAAGGTACAAACGGCACCGGGGAACTTAACAAGAACCTTCCCTCAGAACAGAGACAACAGAAGGGGGGGGGAAAGAGCATACGGGCGGGGGAGACAGCAACACAAAGAGGACATATAGCCCTTCTAAACGGTTGGGAGAAGTGGAAGCAAAGGGGCAGCCGGAGAGACAGATGGAGGTGGGGGGAATGGAGGTGGAGGAGGGGCTGCTAGGGGTGGAGAAGCAGGAACAATCCAGGACGACAGCAGGAAAGATAGATACTGACCCCTTCCAGGCAGCTTTTGATTCGGAACCAATGGATGTTGACCCTCTCCCGGCCAACGCCAGCACATCACCGGAGGTTATGGTCCCGGAGTGCGACCCAGAAGGTGAGGAGGAGGGGGGCGCCCCCATTGCACCTACCTGTAGAACAGAAACTGGTCGCAATTGCAGACTGGCGGATGGGGAATTCGAAAGCTTAACACGACCCCCTCACTGATGGCTTCTGGGACAAGACGTACTTGGAATTATTCCCCATGCTTGACACGAGCGCCTCGCTAAAAAATGTATTGGAAAATGGACTGCAATCGGGGGTGAAGTGGACTGAAGCATGGCACAGACGGACGACAATCGTGTTTGCTCGTTTTCAACCACCACGTGCAGCAGCAGCAAATGAAGCAGAGCAGGGCGCGACAGACAATCAACAGGCCTAGAGGACGCAAGACCCTCCAGTTCTGCAGTAACCAACCCCGCCTCTGGGCCCTGAACCTCCGGACCTGGTTGAGAATGCACCGCTAGACCTGGTGTGAAAAAAAAACTCAGGCATCTGATTGAGATGGGTCGTGATTCTGGCCCCTTGTCGCATGTGGCTATACTGCTCATCCCAGTTCGTAAGTAAAACCAAAAATGGGAGGTGGGATTGTCTCCGGTGGAGAATGGCAGTCAGGGGGGGATCACGTTACAAGGTTGGTCGTCGTTCTGGCGGAGAGACAAAATAGTCTATCTGAGGCAGCGGCTCGAATTCTGTGGATGCAACTGGAAACTCACATTACAGAACTCTACCACCAGGGGCACAGGCAATAGCCTCGATCACAACAGGTCCCAACAAAATAGCGCAGAAGATACGTTTTGACCCAACCAAGGAGGCAGACCTAAGATAGCACACCCATGCCCAACTACTGAACCTGCAAACAGTCAGGATCGGGCACAAAGAATAATGGACTGAACAGGATGTTCATAAATGCTTATGTGCTCTCCTCAGGCTGGGGCCCGTGGCGGGAACCAAGGACTGGGATTGGGATCAGTTGTCGTGGATCCGTCTGTAAGATGCAACCAAATGCTTCCTGGATTGTAATACGACGATATTATGAACAATTCGAGTAAGATGGACCCGGTCAAAGCAGTGTACGGGAAAGACCGTATCAGGAA